TCCAGAGCCGCAACCTTTCCTCGCGACAGCATTTAGCATAAACAAAAGTGAGATTTCCATAATAGAAATTAGGGAGGTCCACCCATACCGCAAGACACTGTTCATGAATATCCTCCATCTGAAGAGACACATCATCTCTCCAAAAAAATGAAATGTACGAATTGATGGGGTGCCCATGCATAAAATTCTTGTATCCAAGTTTTTCGAGCATATTAGCGATTTTCTTGCAAACTGCTCCGCAACACTTTGGTCATGTACGCCATTTCCAATTACTCAAACACAACATATCAAAATAAGTTAGAATACGGATATATATATTAACATATTTTTGACGACATAAGTAACAAATAATGTTTTGTAATCAACTATATATATATATATATATATATATATATATATATATATATATATATATATATATATATATATATATATATATATATATATATATATATATATATATATATATATATATATATATAGGTGATATCTTGGTAGGGGCAATTTGCTATAGGTCCTCCTATAAGAGTTTTTATGTGTATAAATCCAATTACTAATTCCCTATTTTTATTATATTTATTATTTTTATAGTGTCAAAACTACCCCTAATAAAATAAGAAAATAAAAATCTCTCCACCAAATAAAATTCCCTAAAACTCTCTACCAAATCAAATTCCCCAAAATCTCTCTCTCTCTCCTCCCAATTTTAATTAAAAAAACGTCATTCGTGAAAAAAAAAATTCTGCGAAAATTCAAACTCTCAAACTTCATCAAATACAACGTCAAATGCAAACAGCAGACACCAACTAAAAAATTATAATATGTATTATTTAACTGCAAACAACATACTACACTCGACTAAATGCAAACAACAAAGTGCAAAGTCGAATATACACATCATCTAAGTAAACAGTAAATTGAAAATATGATTAACATCATCTAAATTCAAACAAAAACAAGAAAAAGTTATTTTTTTTAAATACACAGTACGCAAATGTAAAACACAACAACAAAATCTTCCAATGCCAAAAAATAGAATTTACAATTTGCAAAAAATCTATTATTACGGATTGCTATTTGCAGTTTTCAATTTTATGTTTCAAATTTAGTTTGTCAATTTAAATTATTTTCGGTGTTTGGTGAAGCAAAAAATCAATTAAAAATGCATCAAAAAAATATAAATTCACTATAAATAAATTTAGAGAGAGAAGGAGAAGCAAATAACTAATTTTTGTAACCAAGGAGATGTTTGTTGTCGATCAAGAGATAATGTCATAATGTAAAGCTCCCTTTTTTTTTCCTCTATGTATTCATATTCCCTCATACAAATCATTTGGATTCTTGTCTATGTATTTCTTCAACAAAAAACACAAAAACATAATTCGAAAGAAAAGAAAAAAAAGGTTTGAAAAGAAAGATAGAGTAACGCACGTGAGAGAGACCAGGAGAAAGAGAGATGTGAGATTATAAATAAATAAAGACGTGAGATTGGAGATAATGAGAGTGTAATGTGTGAGATTTGTTCCCTAATTAATTAAGGGTGTTTGTGTCTATATACTAACAATTTTATTTAATTTATATTATTATTTTAAGTCAATGGACATACACCTATATTCAGCTAACAATTTGGATCCCCACCTATATAAGTTTGAAATAAGGGGTGTTTAGCCTATTTCCCCATCTTGGTATTAGGCGTGGTCGATTGAACCTCAATGAATCAAGTTCCATCCATCTGTCTGGCACGAATATTTCGTAATCTAACTTTGGTCATGTACGCCATTTCAAAATTACTGAAACACAACATATCAAAAGAAGTTAGACGATGAATATTATTAACATATTTTTTACGACATAGGTAACTAATAATGCTTTGTGAATAATCAGTTATATATATATGTTAATATGATTGTAAACAAACATTTGTCCTCACCATTTGTTACATCGATATAACTGCACTTTTTGGTGTGCTCCGCATGTTCGTAGAATCGGACATTCACAATTCATCATCTTTGTTTTCATTTCCACTGCAATTTATAGCTTGTTCATTTTCGGTGCTCATATCAACAAAACCTATTAATTATTCACAACACATAATTGTAATCATAATTATGGGAGTAATGGGGTGACATGGCTCCCCCAATACTTTTTAAATCACTCATAACTCTTTGTTGTCTCCACCACTTCCTGAAACCAATAGTCCGTTAGAACTCTATCGTAATAACGTATCCAATGCATTATCCCATTAGAGTTTATAACTACGTTTCAAGGGGTGAGTGTAATTATCGATACCACAAGGACCTTAAAGTTATTTAAGCATACCTCAGGGGTGTGGGTGTAATTTACCCAATTATAATTTACTTATATTATTTCAAATTTATTATTTCTCAAATTGCCAAACCCTATCACGATCAAATTGTATTTCTTCTTCTTCTCCCTCTTTTCTCTTTACGGCGCCATCTCTCCCCTTCCATCTCAGCCCCGTCGCCGCCATCTCCACCTTCCACCTCAACTCTGATACTACCAAGTTCTCCCTTCTCCCTCCGCTCGCCGCCGCCTCTCTACTGCCGAAGTCTTTGAGCCACTCCGCCGAGGAACTAATCAGACCGACCAAAATAAGTGTAATGAGCGGATGAGAAATCTCATTGTCGCCATCTCCGACCGCCGCCGCCAAAAACCTCTCCTCAAGGCCGTGTATTAGAGATTGCACAACTTCAGACTCTCTATCAGTTGGAACAGCCGTGCATATCTCCTCTCCTCAAAACTCTCAAACCCCAACAACTTGAAACTTATCATTTCTTATTTTTAGTCTACAAACAGTTATCTTTGATTATCTGTACTTGTGTATATATATATCTACACAATGTAATCACAATAGCATCAATAAAATATTAATTCCTCTCAATTACGTTACTTTACACCGTGATGGTGAAAAATTGACTCCATCTACCCAACACTCCGATGACGAAACATTTTTAAAAAAATCTCGTCTTCACTGCCGGATCTAGAGATCTCGGTGTCGTTGTCGTTTCCGCCATCGCTATAATTTCCGATATAGTTGTATAAGACATGAATAGGAACTCATAAATCCCTATCTACCTCTACCCTTCTTCGTCTTCGCCGCCGGATCTTGTGACCCTGCCGCCGCCACGTCTTGCCCCTTCCACCTGTGCCTCGCCGCCGTCTTCTTTTTAATTTTTTTGTGATGCTTTTGATGTTGAGTATCTTTCCCAAAAAATAGTTGTTTCTGCTATTCTCCTATATTTTATAGTTGTTTTCGCTATTCTACTATTTTTATAGTTGATTTCGTTATTCTGCTATTTGTTTTAGTTGTTTTCGTTATTTTGCTATTTTTTTAGTTGTTTTCGATAGGTTTTCGAAACTTTTAGTTGATTTTCAAGTGCATGTTCCGGATCTCGTCATTCCGACAAGCCCGACGATGCAAAACGCTTCGCGACCAAGTTCGGATCTGGTGCCGTTCAATTCAAGCAAAAAGTTTATATTTTTTTTCTTGTTTATTGTGATTTTCTTTATATCATTTTTGCTATGATGTTTTTCAATTTTCTTCATACTTGTTTCCGTTACTTTGTAATTGATTTCGGGATTTGCTATTTTTTTTTATATATTATTGTCGATAAACTTTACAGTAGTTTTCGATAGTTTTATAAAAGAAATGTTTTTTTAAGCTATTATTGTTAGTTTATAAATAAAAAATAAAAAAACAAAATTTTAAATTTATTTAAATTATATATAAAAAAAATTATAGTTTGTAGATGGGAGGTTATGGAAAAATTTGGGAAGTGATTTTTTTGGGATATAATCACACACGATTGTGGGGATCTCAAATTTCTGGATTTTGTGCGTGTGTCTTCGAGAAGGCTATTTTCGGGAATCATTAAAATAGTGAGTTTTCTACTAATATTAAAAATATGGCTGGATCCCCCTTATTAAAAAAACACTAGAGGGGGTTATGGCTAATAGTCCCAACATAAATTGGATATAAATTTGTGTTTTATGCAAATGTAGGCTTATTTCCATTTTGCACCCTCAAAACAAATTAATAGCATTTTGCACCCTCAAAAAGTAATAAATCATTCACATTATGAGAATTCTATCACACAAAAGAAAAATTTCATTTGGAAATAATACTCAAATATGAAATCATAAAAAAATTAATTGGGGTGCAATGTGAATGATTTATCACTTTTAAGGGTGCAAAGTGCTATTAATTTCTTTTGGGTGAAAGTATCAATATTACTACATTTTAAGGGTGCAAAGTGAAATTAACCCCATCATATACCTTTTACTGATTTTACACAGGCCCATTAGATGACTAAAATTGGGCTACGAAACCCATCAATTTTACACAAGATTTTGCAGAGGTCCCAAATTTAATTTGACTTATAAAAGAATAACGAGAAAATGACAATATTACTATTAAAAATAATAAATGAATAAGTAAATAAATAAAACAAGAGGCTATAGCACCTGGTTTTTGGTCCTGATGTAAAAAAAATTGAATTATGGCACACTGAAATAAGCCCCTCAGCCAAAATTTCCCATCTTTTTCATTGCAATTGATAAATGAAATTACTATTATAATATATAGTATATTCCCTTGCCTAAGTCAAATTGTATGAGTATAAATATGTACATAGATCTCCCCACAAATTGCCATAATACATAGACATAAAATTTTCATAAAATACTTGGCTTTGACTTTTAGTGTTTCTATTACGCGAAAGCTAATTACTAAAGAAGACGTCAAATACTCGAATATGGGGCGTTGGGTTAAACCGGAGGTTGTATTCAATCGTAAGTTTCTTGTTTGTAATTTCCAATTTTCTTTTTTAATTAGATGAAACATTAGGGATAACAAAAATATAAAATGTATTAAAAAAATATACATCACTGCATGTTTATTATCATTAAGTAGTGTTAATTATCATTTAATTTGTTCCATGTTCACTGCAACAATATCCATTAAAAAATATTGCAAAAATGGTGGTTGGTGTTATAATTTATATACAAGTAATTAAAGACAAAATTAAACAATATTGTTAAAATACAAATTAAACAGGTTTACCCTCTTATGGCGGCCATGAGTTTTGTTACTGGAATGTGTCTATTTCAGCTTACAAGGAATGTTATTCTAAATCCTGATGTCAGGTACAATTTTATTTTAGGGTTTTTTTTTTCATAAGTCTCCTACCAAACATCTTATTATTCTAAGTTTAGGGGCTGTATCTCTTTCACCAATAAGTCAATCCCTTTAATATTTATTATAAATAAATGAAACATTCATGTATATGATAATATTACCCTCAACCCTTTATACCCAATTCTTAATTGTAATCACAATTTAATCAATTTGTCCACAAAAATCCAATTTTGACTTTTCTTTTTCAAAAACTTTTTTTTGCCGCCGGATTCCGGCGTTGACTTTTCGATTTTTTTTTTCCAGATTTTTTCGCCGGTTTCCGACGTTGACTTTTTTTTTTCTTGTTTGTTTTTTTCCACCGCCGGATTCCGGTGTTGATTTTTTTTAGTGTTTTTTTAGTTTTTTTAAGTTTTTTTTTTTTTTTTTTTTTTTTTTGTGTGATGTCACTGAGAGTAAATTAACGTAATTATATTGTCAATGATAGTTAATTAACGTAATTGTACTGCCGTTGACAATACATTTATGTAATTGTTCTGCCGTTGACAGTAAATTAACGTAATATTATTATTTTTTATTTTATTTTTTATTTAGTTTGATTTGTTGACAAGTCAACGTAATTATATTACTGTCGTTGACAGTAAAATAACTGTAAACACAATAATATTACTGTTAATTATTATTTTTTAAGGTTTTTTGTTTTGTTTGAGTTATTCACGGAGTAACGTAATAAAAAAATACTGTATATTATTGTAATATTACTGTAAACACAATAATATTACTGTGGTTGACGGTAATATTATTGTTGTTATTGTAATATTGCTGTCAACCACATCAATATTATTATTTTGTTTGGATTTTTTTGTTTGTTTGACTTATTCATGGAGTAACGTAATAATATTACTGTCTATTATTGTAATGTTACTGTGGTTGACGGTAATATTACTGTTGTTATAGTAATGTTACTGTAACTCACAGTAATATTAATTTTTTTGGCTTTTTATTATGTTTACATTTGTTGAACGGTCAACATAGTAATATTACTCTATTACACAATAATAATGAGTTTTGTTGTGTTAATATTACTGCGCTAGAGATTAATATAGCAATATTACTGTGTTAAACTGTAGTTTAGTTAATTTTACTGTGTTTAACAGTAATATAGTTAATATTATTGTCAATCACAGCAATATTGCTGTTTAAACGAAAAAAAATGTTACAAAAAGAAAACAAATCGAAAAAGTCAACGACGGAGACCGGCACGTTGACCGCCGGTCAACGCTGGAAACCGGTGAAAAAATCCGAAAGAAAAAAAAATCGAAAAGTCAACGGCGGAATCCGGCGGCAAAAAGAAAAGAATTTGAAAAAAAAAAGTATTGAGGTCAAAATTGAATAATTTGTGAAATTTGAGGTTAAATTAAATTAAGGCTGAAATTGGAGCATATTAAAGTATGAGAGGCTATTTTAGTCTTTTACAAAAATCTGGACCATATATGGACTTATTTGTAAAGGAATTTTTTGTTTGGATTTCTATATGAATAAATACCCATTGATGGACTTGTTTGTAATGACCATTTATTTTATTAAATTGTATAATATATATAAGTAAATTAATATTAATAAAAATGATTATTTAATGAATATTTCCTCTTGATTTGGCAGAATCAACAAAGCTCATCGGACAACAGCAGTTCTCGAAAACGAAGAGGAAGGACTGACGTACCGAGAGCACAACCTCCGTAAGTTCCTTCGTACACGGCCGCCGGAAGTCATGCCATCAGTCAACCGCTTCTTCTCCGACGACAAATGATTGAACTTTTTTATGTAGCCCCCGCGCGTGAAATTAAACCCTCAAAATAATCAAGTTGCATGTGTGAAGATTAATTAGTTTAATTATCTATGTAATCGTTTGTTGAATATAATTAATATTCTTCTCTCTTTGTTGAGTTTTGTATCAAAAAATGTCAATAAATAAATGATCAAATCTACGTTTTTTCCGGAGTGAATTGTAAAAGAAACTCTACCTTATTCGAATTATATTGCAAAAACGAAGAAATGTATTATTAATATTAGCAAAAATGTTCCTATTGTTGTAAAATGGCCTATTTATCTAGCTCTTTGGTTTGTGTTTGTGAAAATACATAAGAATGTAAATAAAAAGACAAAGAGAGAAAGAGAGAATGCAAAGAACAACAATTCGTAGAGAGAAAATTGTGGGTGTTTAGGGAAGGGGAAATTCTCATTTATATAGGTGTAATCCACCGGAAGTTACAAATGAGTTACATAGGAGTTACAACCACTAAAATGTGTGGGGATAATGGGGTAGTGGGAAGTTGAAAATCTATAGTGGAATATCGAGGTTACAACCTCTCATGTGTTAGGATAGGAAGATCCATTATTCCATACCAACCCTCATTAGGAGAGTTGGTACCTAGCCTTTACCAATAGGGTAACGGTCTAGGGTTCGAGTCCCTTCCCCCCTCATCCCTTCCCATACTTCCCCTTGTAATGGACTTGAATTTACTAAAAAAAGAAAAGATCCATTATTCCATATTATTTACAACACTCCCCCTTGGGGATTCCTATCAAAATATTATTGTGCTTTTCATGTTGCCTCGTTAAAACCTTCCGAGTAATAAAAACCCAGTAAGAAAAAACAACCTCGGTTAGGAAAAAGAGTACAACGCACAATCTTTCAATCAGCATGTGTTGTCTCGTTAAAACCTTGGCGAGTAACGAAAACCTGTAGGAAAAAAAACCGCGCACAATGGAAAAGAGTACAACAGGGCACCCGGGTATCTTTAGGATACTGAGTACTACACGGTACTCCCCCTCAAGTTAACTCCCCCTAAATCAAACCCTTGTTATGACCAATAATGATTTGGGAAAATACTGATGTGTTAGACGAATGATACCCAAGAGTGCAAGTGTTCAAAATCATGCAATTCAACAGCAAATGAACAACTTTTGCAAACATAAACAAGAAAACAACATTTATTGGAATCAGTTGTTCAATTTTTTTATTTGAGAAAACCCCAATCTCACCGTTGGATACTACCCACTACTGGAAATGTTCAAAATCATTCAATATGAGAACATGCAGTTTGTTTTTTGCTAACCTAAGCAAAAAAACAACAACAAATTTCATTATCGATTCCTGAAAAAAAAAAAAAAACCTTGCTTCTCCTTCCCCTTCTTTGCCCGCACCATTCTTCTACTTCGAAAATTATTACTTTCCTTTCTGTTGTTGTCTACTTTCCGCCTTGTTGTGGTTATTTATACAAGCAAACAAAAACCGAAAAACCTGAAGAAGTGCTTGCTTACCAAGAAAAACTGCTTAGAAACCGCTTAGAAAATGGTTCGAAAATTGAATGACAACGGATAGTTAAAAAGGTGTGGAGCGTGTCTCCGAACCGGCGCGTGAAAAAGTAGGTGAAAAGGTTTGTCAGAATTCGCGGATAATTTCAAAATAAAGTGAAGGGTTTTTCGGACTTTGCACACCAGTTAGGAAGTTAAGTGCATATTTAAGTTTGATTTATGGTCCAACATGCTTATAAAATGTTACTGGGGACTGACCCGCACTTTATGTTTGGGTTTAGAGATTTATGAGTATTTGCCCCATTTTGAAACCACCTTTAAAAACATTATTTTTCCACATAAAACATCATAAATTCTATATTAAATAGAGGTTTTATGGTGGTCACATTTTATACTATATAAAGGAGACTTTGGTGGTTTTGTAAAAGTATTAGAGTAGAGAAAGAAAAAAAATATTTCTAAGATCATATATCATCCATATACATACATATATGTTGAGCTCTTGTTGTGTGTCGGGTGTAAGCTTCTGCTTCACTTGAACGTGCAGTTTCGGTGAAGTTACAATGGAGAGATAGGTTGTGATGTTGTATCCCATAGGCGACACGATCGAAACCTTTCTACATCTGGTTAGAGAAAGGGTCGTGAAATTCGTCTTAAGAGAGCGACCTAGTCCGCGCCTCACCTTTCTTATCTTCATATTATTATGTATACTAGATTTTTGGCCCGTGCGATGCACGGAATTGAAGTAAAACTAATACAAAGTAAAGTTGAATTTAAACGATAAAACTAAAATTTCAATTCATTTGATGTTTTGCTATATGCATTGATGATAATCCCCATCCATAAAATTTTTTACAATATTTATTAATTTAATTTTATGCTTTTGATGTAATATGGTTTTATATTTATCTTATATCAGATAATGTAGAAGTTTGACGAATCATCTTCTTTATCACCCAGAAGAGGCCTGAGTAAATTTACTTAAATCAATGATGCCTTTAAATCTCAAGAGTTTATTAGGAGCAACTTTACTTTTATTAATAAGATAAGAACCAAATGTTTCTCTAAACAATTACATAATTTTTTCATAAAATTAATATTGAGTAAAATAACCATTTTATTGGAAAAGATACATAGATTTGGAGCCAAAAAGTCTGAATACTTAAAGGATTTATTAAACTTGCTTATATTAAATATAATAAAATAATAAAATTAATTAAATAAATAAATGTCAATTATAACTATCAAATAAGCGGATTTTTTTTAGAGTTTACCAAGTGTTGGCCGAAAACCTATACGCAAGTGCATGTATCGTACAAGTAATATAGTGGACAATTAAGTCCGGATATCGAACCCACAGGGAATATTCAATTACTTAATCCTAGACGCTAAGTTCTACCAATTATTATCAAGCCCACCCTACACAGTCGACTTTAGAGAGAATTAACGAAATTAAATTAAATTAAAAAGCAAGCAAAAAGAAGAAAGCAATTTAAAACACGAAGATTAATCAAAGTAAACAAGTCTAGGGTTTTATTCTTCCCCCTATGTGATTAGTACTCCCCCAATTCCTTCAATTATGCAAGCAATTAACCCGGATTATTAACCTGAGATGCTAAAATAATCATAACCCGCTTCCACGTGTATTACGATTCTAATACTCTAGATTCAATTACTATATTCCTATGCAATTAATTCTAGAACATAACATTAAGCACAAATCTCAATAATGGCTACCTAAGAGATTAACTATATTCCTATGTTAATACCACAAAGACTCTTCTACCACAATTCTAATTATTAACCTGATCTTCCGATTCATGCGATTAACAATAACATAAAAGCACATAAGGTGATCAAATTCATGCACTTAATAAAACAAGTAGGAGAAATAATCCGGAATTAAAACTTGCATAAAATCATAGAAAAGGGTTCATAAATCCCGCATAGGGTTCCAAATAAAATCCTAGAAATAAGAAAATTAGCTACTCATGATTAAAGGAAAAACACAAATAAAATAAGTCATAAACGATAAATCTATGCTTAGAGTCTTCGAATTCTTCGTCTTCGTTATTGCTTTGTTGCTCTCCAAATTGCGTAAAAAAAGATCCCCAATTGTGTGCTTGGGTTGGTCTTATATAAGGTGAAGAACTTGGGGAAGAAGGCAGTTTCCTTGTGCAATTAAAATTCCTTTACAGCTTCGGAGTCTCGGACGGGGGTCCCACAATTTGAACTAAAACTCGGACGGGGGTCCGAGCTTCAAATCTTCAGAATTTTGATTTTTTCACTTTTGACATATATTTGCTCCAAAATTACAGTTTTGACCCCATACTTTTCCAATTCTTCAATTTGTACCTAAAATACAATAAATCAACTTTTTAAGCACCAATTATCATTAAAACACACCAAAAGCTAAAATAAAAAGGTACGATAAAGTCTAAAAATATACACTTAACACCAAGAACATCCTTACTTTTATTAATAGGATACTTAGACTTGGGGTCAAAAAAATTGGATACTTAATGGATTTATTAAACTTGATTATATTAAATAAAATAAAATAATAAAAATAAATAATTAAATAAATTATTATAAAATGAGCGGGAAAGGTTTCATAGGGTTTACCAGGAGCAACCTTACTTTTATTAATAAGATTATTGCTGCAAATTATCAACTATGAAAAGAGAGAGCAAAAAGAGTTCGAGATTCAATCCGCCAATTTCGTGATTGGTCGTCAAAGTGCAGCTGAAGTTCCAACAAAATCAAATCCCTTTTTCGTTTGGATTGAAATTTCATCTCGGCTAGACCAATTATGTAAAAAAAAAAAAACAAGATCATGTACATACCTCTATAGATATGGGTATGGAATGAAATTTGCATCACTGAACTCTTGTGATTCAAATCTTTAATTGAATTGGTCAAAATCCTAACTCCAAAATCAACGCAAATTCTTTTGTTTTTCAATTGATGCTTGATAAAGCTTATCGACATGTTTTATCGTAAAATGGATATATGATCAATCATTTTTCATATTTCTCACATCTCTTTACCTCTAATGGTGAGATAAATTTATGATGTAATAAGCACCATGATATCTCTTGAAATATTTTGTTGTTTTTATTGTCAAAGAATAACAATAATTGAACGAGCTTAATATTTCCATTTTAGATCACAACTCGTATTATAGTACGATATGCTATAAAAATTTCTTGATTTTGCTATCATGAGTGCAACTTGAGTTTTTCTGTTGCCACTTCATGATCATAACATAGACACAAAGTATTGCTATTGATGGACCATTTTAAGTCAAATAAATTAGAGAATATTTTCTCTTACAATTATCCTTTATATGTATTCTCAAGACAAATATATCAATATGATATATTTTACTTGTCGTTTTCAAAACAACAAAGTCAAGATTAAAGAGAGCAGATTATATATAGAGGGGATCATATATCTATATCTCTTCTTCATAAGTAACTATATATAATGTTACTTTTACTTATCATATGTTTAGGAGTGGAAATCGGACGGATTAGATCGGATACGGGAATTTCGGAAAAT